TCAGGCAAATAAAATAATGTGAACTATTATAGACTATTTTCCTAGCTTTTGGCTAGGCCAAATTGGTTTAATTTTTCATTAGAACTTTGTGATCCTTTTAATTTCCCAGTTCTTTGTGTTCATTAATGGTCTTGACAATAAGTGTGAATTGCTGTGCGAGCCCACCGCACACGACCGCGGTAAACCGGGGTCATGGAATCTATGCATAAATTTGCATAAAATGCGGTCGACCGGCGAGTACCCACCACCACCGCGGTAATGACCGCGGTGCACCGCCCGTTTGATTTCCTACTCTTCCCTAACTAAAGAGTATCTCTCAATGCCATGTTCCTTCCTTTAAAAAAGTTCAAAATCATATTCATCTTTCACGCATTATGTATGATCTCGCAGTGAACGGAAAATTACCTATTCCTTGAGTGAGTGAGCGAGTGAGTGAGCGAGTGAGTGAGTGAGCGAGTGAGTGAGCGAGTGAGTGAGTGAGTGAGCGAGTGAGTGAGCGAGTGAGCGAGTGAGTGAGTGAGTGCTTGCCTTGCATTACCTCTGGGTAAAAATACATAAAGCTTGTACCACTGAGAGACTGTTGTCTAAATCTGTTTATCCTCAATGTCAGAAACCTGTTTGTAATCATCAGAGATAAATTTATTCTGCATCTCAGTTGAATAATATAATTGACTGCACCCAAGCAAGACAGAACCACATCAGCACTATTGTATCAAGTGACAATTTAAAAACAAATCTAGTCAGTTTTGAAGCTACGTGTTCTGCTTTGTCAATTTGAGTAAAGGCCAGTTATCTGATCAGGTAAATCACATCGTGTAAACTGCAGAATCTGATCAGATTTTTTTTGAAATCGGACATGTTCAATTTCCTGAGATAAATCAGATGACCTAAATCTGACGGTGTAAACACCTATTTTGCCATCAGAATAATCGGATGCAGTTTGATAAATCTGACTGTGTAAACCGACCTTAAAACGATGACTGAATAACAAACTATCCAATAATTGGTTGGGAGATGGCCAAAGGTTCAGGTTTTGATCAATAATTGGTGACTATCTTATAGTGCTGTGCATGAGGTCACATGATTAGTATGTTGCTACAATGTAGAGTCAATAAATTTGATACATGTATGTCGAAAATAGTACTATGAACATATTAATTACTCACTAGTTTCTAATTTCGGTATTTTTGCTGACAAGTAATATTCACATGAACATGTATATTATCAATAGAACTTCTTGTTTTCCTGTCGTGTTTGTAAACTTAAACCCAGGGAAATTACTTCAAAACATCAGAATAATGAAATTAAATGCCAGTGCGAAAAAATAAATGGTTTTACCGTATTTGGTAATCAAAGTCCTTGGTCCTTATTCAATATAACTAGATACTGATCACTTGAGTAAAAATATGTACATTAATTTACATAAAAAAAATATGTGCATTTAGTTATTCTTTATGTGCCAAATAAACATACCCCTCGGAATAAACATAGCAAAATACCCTGATAATTACAAAACATCGAAGCAAATAGACAATCAGACGACTTAAATCTTTATTGTATTTACAGCGTAAGCTGACAAACAGGGTTTCCTTTGGCCCCGGACCATGCATTATGACCCAGCCCTCTCCAGCGGAGGCTATTACGCCACACGCCAATGAGTGTCCATGGCGGATTTCCCAAGGGAGGATGACCTCATCGGAACATCATGGGCGTTTATAAACGTCTTCCAATCAAAGATTGTATTTTTTTTGCCTTCCAAAAAAAAAAAAGGCATAGAATTTCATTTAATCGGCTTGATTTAGAAAAATAAATGAACGTACTGTCCTAAATAAGAACCTACCGGGTGGAATTTTTTGGGGAAAAAAATAAACATACCGGTACATGAGAGTATATAACACATCGCTTTACGTTTCACTACATGTATGTCACTTGAATCTTTATGGATGTATTCTTACTTTGTTTTTAGTATATTATACATAGAATCTATAAACCCTATTCTATTATCGATTATTATATAGTCATATCTAGTGAAATGCAGTAAATTGAAAAGTTAAAAACTGAATATTAACCCAAATTTTATTAGTTGGCACCAAAAATTAGGGTTCATTTTCATAAATATTGATGAAATTAAGAAAAAAGTGCAGAAATATGTTGATGAGAAAGTCTGATGATGAAAAGGTTAACCTCCTGGTAAACCACAAAGTGCATGTATTGTATGCTGGATCATTGTACCAAACTTGACCATAAACACACCTCTGTCATTTTCGTAAACGTCTGTGCTACCAGACTTAATTTGACATCTTTGTCAATTACATTACCACATGCTCTATCATCGTTTTTGCAATTCAATCTTGTAAAGTTTATTCATTTATTGATCGTGATGATATCTATCGAGAAAACACTGCTTTTTATACAAGCTGAAGCAGAAAAAAACTGTTTATTTACTAATAATCCATCTTCAGTGTATTTGATGTTAATTGTAAATGTATTGTGTTTTGTAGATTGTTCATGTGATACAGCCCCGGCTGCAATTGAAAACATGGCTGATGCGGTGACACATGCTAGGTTTGTTGGAACAGACCCAGGGAGTGATGAAGTCGTACTCATGAAAATCTTACAGGTACGTTTTAGTTTTGATAACCCTGAGTTCATTAAATTAACTCTCATCATTTTAATCGTTGACGCATTGCTTGATGTGTTTTTTTCACCTTGTTCATATCATCGTAGATGAAGGGCAAGGTATATGAGAGGAAAATATCTGTCCTTGTAGTTGTAGTTAAAATAAAAGTTGTTATCTAATTTCTTACAAACATAGATATTAACCATTTTGGGATCTTGGCAAAGTTTGATTTTAGTTTATCTCTTATGTATGGTTTAAAAGATACTGGTTAAATTTCATTTAAAATTTTAAAGAAGTTTGGACCAATTTGAAGATTATGCATCACATTGTGGGTTAACATCAAATGAACTAAAAAATTGGGGTCATCAGAAATTTATACAAGAATCAGGAGTTATACAAGAATCAGGAGTTATACAAGAATCGGGAGTTATACAAGAATCGGGAGTTATACAAGAATCGGGAGTTTGAAATGTCAAAAAAAGGAGTCAAAATATTTGCACTGGTATTTGTATGATGAAATTATTTCATTGTTTCTTGAAATTTTGTGTGGTAACATACTATAAAAGTCATATGTTATTACTAATATAAATCCTAATATTGCTAAAAAAATGAAATCTAGTTTGGTGAGTTACTGGTGTGATAGTTTTCCATTATATACAATGAGACATTCTCCCATAATGCATTGCACATATGTGCAGTAACATGCTCAGTACTGCATAATTTGAATTTGGCTCAAACTGTCTCAATAAAACGTACATGTATGAAGAGAGTATCAGATTGATGAGTGAGTATACATGCCTATGGCACTTCAACACTAATTACATGTTATGTTTTATTTGTAGGTGCTGAGGACATTACTACTCACACCAGTTGGTACACTTCTCACCAATGAATCAGTTTGTGAAATTATGCAATCTTGCTTTAGAATATGTTTTGAAATGAGACTCAGTGGTGAGAATATTTTGCAGCATATTTGAAATTCCGGGAATTGTGGGAAATACAATAAATGTTCAAACTTCAATGCTTTTCAGTATGTTTGAATGCTTTTGATTGTGTGTTCATTTTTGTTTTTTGTTAAAGCTTTATCAGAATAGTGTTCTATTTCAGAGAACTATTTTCAATAAAAAATGGCAGAATTCTGGCGATCTTTACTTTTCCCCTTACAGTGTGTGCAACTTCAGGCTATTGAATATTTGTCATAATATCCAAAAGATCCCAATAAATCTCTCAGAATTAAATAGTATTGTCCAAAATGAATATTAAGGGGTGGCTGTTGGGTCATTTGTGTTGATAAACATAAATTTTTCCAAATCCAATGCGCTCCACTAATGGAAACAAGAGTTTAAGTTTTGACCTGGGTGTGATGTAACCTAACTAATTACCGCCAATTACTCCTTTGATAACTTCCAATCACCAAAGAAATCACCTAGTTAAAGCTTGGTAACGTCTCAGTC